AGTCAGGATGAGACATCCCATTACCCCCAGGAGCTCCGCTGTGTCCCCCCGTGGTGAATGCCCCCAACCCCCACCTAGTGATGTGCCTCATGGAACCTCATTAAAAAGGACCTGTGCAGGCTGGAGTGCTCCAGGCTCCTGGCACTTGGCACATGCACTTGAGGGGCACCCGTGTTGCATGGATCAGGCCTTTGCTTTCTGTTTAAATTGCTGAGTGGGGCTCCATTGTGTGGAACGCGTCCATTAGGTTCATCCATTTCCCAGTTAAAGAATATTGGGTTGTTTCCAGTTCGTTGGTGACTGTAGACAGAGCTGTTGAAACCACCCATGTGCAGCTTTGGTGTGAGTGGAGCTTTCCGTGCAGCTGGGTGAGCACCAGGGGTGGATTGCTGGGCCCTGTGCTTCACGTTATGGAAACCCGCTGAGCGGAGGAATTTGCAATTCTAGACTTTACACAACTGCCAGGGGAGGTCCTGTCACCCTGACAGGGCGGGTAGGCAGATAGAGTTGAGCAGGAGACGGAGGGAACTAGCCCCGGTCAGGAAGCCCCTGGCTGCAGCTCCTACCTGGGTCAAGACCCCTTACAGTTGCCCTCACTGAGGACACCGATGCCTCACTGGCCCAGCAGGACTCCAGGTCGCACCTGCCCTCAATCAGTGGGGTGTGTTGTTAGAAGCGAGAGAGAGAGAGAGAGAGAGAGAGAGAGAGAGAGAGGGGAGGGAGGGAGAGGGAGAGAGGGAGACAGAGACAGAGACAGAGACAGGGAGAGAGACAGGGAAACCATCCCGCTTATCAGAATGCGCGCTCTGCTTCTTGGGGCCATTGTAATGAGCTCAGACAACCTTGGGAGAAAGAAGGGAGGACGCGGCCCGCCAGCTGGGAGAATGAGGGGTACTGGAGAGGAGGAGGGGGGACAGTTCTACCCAGAGAGAGAAAAACCCTCGCACAACGTAAGAAGGGGCTGCTTCCCTCTCTGGGGTCCGCCCGCCCACGTCTCGGAGTGTACCCGCTTTTACTAATAAACTTCTTGCTCTCCTGAGCTGCACAAACTGTCTCGGGGCTGAATTCTTTCCTTCAAGAAGACAAAGACGAGGTACAACGTCGTTCCAGGGACAATGCCACTTTCCAGGGGAGGGACTAAGCACACCTGGGCGAGGCAGCTGCCCGAGGTCCAGGCAGCTCCCAGCAGTTGGGGCTCATGCTCTGCAGGTGCCTTGGCTTCTCCGCCCAC